TTTAAATTTTCTTCAAATTCAATGTTAATGAGCTATTAATGGTCTCATATATTCTTCAATGCAAATATTTAAATATCAAAATAATTTATCATTTGATTAAATAATACAATATTTGAATCAATGTTGTGTACAAACAATATATTTGTTATATATATTTTCAATTATCCGATTAACCATAACTTGGAATCTTCTAATAAATGGAAAGTAAGTCTTTTTGTTAAATCTATTTATATATAAATATATTAAACACTCAATCAATTTAGTTGTACAACAATTTGGTACTTCATTTGGGATCAAACTTTGTTTTGACCGTTCTTTGGATTGTATTCGTGGCACAAATCAGTTGTGCGGCGCTTTGAAACACAGTTTGCGTTCTGTTTGGGCGACAAATGTTAGTGTGAGACAAATTGAGTGCTCAACCAATGCAAGTCAATACTCACTGTCCCTCTCGGAAGAACTCCTTCAATGTTTGGCTGAATTTCTTCGAGTCTCTAATGAATTCTCGTTTACGATTCTCGAGCGCTCTCTTGTCTGAAGGCGATGTGATCTGAAGACTGTTGGATATCTCATTCACACAATCCAACAGCTTTTTGATAGCACTGGCGATCTCTCTGTGTGTCCGCACAAAATCAAAACATTTAAAACCCCAATAAATATATATATATATATAAAGCGATTCTTAAATTACTTAATGGTCTCGAGAAACGTCTTCCTGTCGTTGATTTCATCGGGAATTCGACTCAATATCTTCTTAAGTGAATACGTCTTCCGATTCAAGTCCTGAAAGAGCTCTTCAGAGCGTTTGCACTTTTGATCTGTATTTATGGTCACAATTACTATCATCACTGAATTTCAATGTCTTGTTTCAATGTATGATATATACCATCGAATTCGGGAATATGTCCCTGAAGTTTGAGCAACGATTCCGTAATATTAACGGTAAGATCTCTTCGCTTCAAAATACTGTTCACGATATCCAACATAAGTCCCGGTTCTGAGGTCTCCGCCTATCATCACCACAAACACATCCATTTAGTGACACAAAGCAAATGCAATTCAATAATACCTTAATTATGGCATTCAAGAGGATTTGTGCGGCCATCGGGTCATGTCTTTCAATCTGTTCATTGAGTCGACAATTAAATGACAATCAATTGATTCATTGAATGCATACCTTATGAATGACGGGTCGGATAAGTATCGGGAATATAAGGTTTGCACAAATCGGAGGCTTTTCTTCACTCATTGTCATTATTGTGATGAAAATGTATTAATTGTTATAAAACTGTATTTAACGTCAATTTAGTTATAAATCATCCAAAATGTGATTCAAATGCTAAATACAAGAGTTGTTAAGTAGTTGTTGATTGAATGCAATGTTAATGTTATCATTCAATTGTCACTACATATGGACGTCATTGCAGTCGCTGTACTGTACAGTCTGTATGCGAGCGTAAGCTTTACAGTGCAGTATCCATACAGTATGACAGCCCCTATTCCATAGCACACTGTCATATACGGTATGTTCTCAATATTCATTACAGTGTATTCATTAGGAATGTCATTAAATCATTAAATCTCGACTTAAAATACTTTCGATATGATTATTAAATTGGATACATATTGTGGCTATCATTTTGTTATTACTTTATTACACTTTTATGACAATCCAATTGACTTTATAACAGTTTATAACCATTTATTTCACTTTCCAAACAAACTTTTGTAAAACTTTTTTTCTTTGCAAAGTTAGCATAACATTATTGTTCTCAACCCATGCCCTCCTTTATCGGCACTCATTGAAGGACAACATTGAGGGCTAGAATTGAATAATATTTGGTTGACAACTGAATTTGTCTCACACTAACAATTGTCGCCCAAACAGAACGCAAACTGTGTTTCAAAGCGCCGCACAACTGATTTGTGCCACGAATACAATCCAAAGAACGGTCAAAACAAAGTTTGATCCCAAATGAAGTACCAAATTGTTGTACAAC